TTTTTTTAAACAACCTGCTGATGTGACACCTGCTGAGCTCACTCGCACTATGGGAGTTAGAATGTGTCCGACTTGACTGCAGTCTTTTTATACTCCCTGCTTCCAGTCACCTGCAGTTCACGATGACCATCAAGTCAATGTCAAACCCACTTCTTCCTTAGCTGCCAATGGATAAGGGCCATCATCCCTACAGCTGCGGGAGGGCTTTGTCACTTGAACGTAAACGTGACGTTTTTTGGGGAATTTGGTAGCAACTGACACTTGCGATTGGTCTCGGGGAGGACAGTCTCGTCGTATGCCACCAGTTTGTGTTGCCCTTGGGCCACGATTGCCACAGAGCAGTCAGGGGTGAGAATCGGAGCTAAAGCAATTTCAGAACATTTCATCGAACATTTGAGAATAGAACGCTGTGAAATAGTTGCTGAATTCACCCAAAAACTGAAGCCGAGCAGGGATTTCTGGGCTTTTTGCTTTCATTACATGGAGACGCTCATAGTGTTGACTTTTAAATCATATTTTCTAACGCAGATGCTCCTCTTTTGTGCTGAAGATTAAACCGGGAGAGGTATCATGACAAAATACCATGACACTGTCTATGCAGAGGATGAGCACAACTTCCACTAGTGGAACTCTAGATGCCTGAAATACCTCCTCCTACTCTGCAATTCTATAGCACAGATAAGGAAGGCAGTACGAGAGAGTTATCACTTGCAGGTCCTACAGACAGAACCACTGCAGCATTTCACTACCTCCCTCTCACTCGCCCTTCACTTTTTTTTCCCTCTTTGCCGAGTCCCGCCTCATCACCTCTCTTTCTCTCTCGCGTTCTCTCATCTTCCTCCCCCCTGCTGTATCCTCTCTCCCCTCTCTCTACCTCTCTTCCCCTCCTCCCCACATGTCTGTCTGTTCGAAACTAGAGCAATGTCTTAATCGAGGCTCAGAGACGTGACGGGAATGTCTAAGCAACCCCGGCTCTGCAGCACAGACACACACAAGCGCGCGCGCGCACACACACACACACACACACACACACACACACACACACACACACAGAAACAGACACATTCTGCTTGGCAGCCAATTAACAACCTGCGATCCAGCGCCAAAGGAATAACTGCATGTTGATGAGCTGGAGGCTCTATGTGTGTGTGTGTGTGTGTCTATGAGTGCGTGTGTGTTTGTGATGAGCTGGTGGCCGTCAGAACCACTTACACAGATAGAAGGATATCTCTTTTATGTGTTCTGGGGAAAGAGGGGGATTATGCCGCATTAAAAACCATCACCATGAGGGACAAACTAAGACAGGAACAAGGAAGTTTGTGGCTGAGATTCTCTTTGTGTGTGTGTGTGTGTGTGTGTGTGTGCGAGAGAGAGAGAGAGAGAGAGAGAGGGACGCTGTTCCGACAGCTTCAGTAAATGTGTGTGCGTGTGCCCACAAGCAGCATTAGGAGAACAATGCAGATGATTTACATGGAGCTGAGCCTTGCTTTCTCCTCCTTATCCTCCTCCTCATCCTTCCTCTGGTTTCGTTACCTTCCGTTCTCCTCCTCCTACTCCTCACTTCTATCATGCCTTCACTTTGGGGAGTTCATCCAAAGGTGAACGCCTGAAATTATCCCTCCCCTCCCAAAAAAAAAAGAAAAAAAAGAAACTCATACATTCTCTTTATGTGTCAAAAATATTGACACTAGCCTTGACACGACATCCCCGAGCAGCGAAGCGCTGTGTTTGCCAGTCCAGGTTTCATCATCCAGCCTTGATTTTTTTTGAGAGATGGTATATGTTGAAAAGAAGACTCTGGGTTTAAATCCAGCTTTCTGTGTTGTTCTTGCCCTACTTCTCTGCACAGTCCTCTGTATCAGTCGTTGCCATACAGTGTCTGGATAAGTGAATAAAATACTGGCAGATGAGAGGTTTTCTACTATTATTAACAAGTGAATGACGTAACACTTTTGATGACAGCACATTATTACTACAAGCCACTGCAAGGTCTGTCAAGAATGATCTGTCAAGTTAAACTAAACTCAGTATATGTCACAAAAATAAGGATATCAGGAAAGGGATGGCATTAATAAATTCATAAATTAGAATTTAACAGTTACCTTATTCATTAGAAGCTCTGCATAACTGAAAATAACAACGAATAGTGAGGTTTCTTCATGCTTTAGTGTATTAGCTTTGTTTTTTGTTGAACTAGGATGACAACTCGTGGCAAAGTGCTGAGATCTCAGGAAAGTTACTGGGGTTTGGAGGGAAAATTTTGCTGGTAAAAGTAAATGGAAGGAAATCCTGCCATCTGCTGGAGAGATGTGCATATCACAGGAGAGGATCAGAGAAAACCAAGAGCTCTATGTTTTCTAAAAACTTTGAACGGTCTCATTCTGAGATGTTAAACAGAATGGTGTTTCATCTGCGATACGTTTGAAATTATATTCCAGTTTTGAAAGTAGGGATGTCATCTTTCTTAATTTGTGGAACATAACCACAGCAGAACTTTGCAGAGGAAAAATGAAAACAGAAAAATAAAGAAAATCACACAGAGATACACATAAGAGTCCTGACAATGACATGTAACTTTTTCTGACAGAAAAGTTCCCCAAGACACTATGGAAATAAAGAGTTTGATGCCTTCACCAGTGAATATTTCAAAACTTAAGGGATTTTTCTGAACCCAATCATAGACCCCAGTACATATTTTACAACCTGATTCTATATTCCATGTCAAATTGTTTGTACTAATTTGTGCTAATGCATATTTCAAGCTGAACTTCCTGATGAGACAGGAAAGATCCAGTGACGTCCTGAGTAACAGCTCCTCCCAGTGGAGAGCTGTGGTAACGACAGGAAAGTTCCTGAAGACTCTGGAGCTCCTCCAGTTAGAATATAAAAGCTGGGACAGTCCCACTGCTGAGACAGAAACAACACAAGCAACACAGAGGACAACAGACACTGTAACAGTGTTTCATCTCACAACAAGAGGACTCCACTCTAAACCCACTCTGAAGATGCTGTGCTCTCATGGATTCCAGTCTGCCCTCAGTCCATTCAGCTTCTACTGGCCTGTACGCAGTCTGTGGCCAGAGGTCACACCTCTGCTCTACCAGCAGGATCGACTGCAGAGAAACCTACAGGAGCTGTGCAGCAGTCTGGAGCTGATGGACAAACTTCAACACAACATCCTGGAGGAGACGAAGCCTTTCCAAAGCAGTGTGGCCGTGCAGCCAGTCTCCTACCAGCTGGAGAAAGAGGGAGAGCACTTTAACCTGACTCTGGACACTCAAGGCTTTTCCCCAGAGGAGCTGTCTGTCAGGCAGGTGGGCGGGAAGCTGAGAGTCAGTGGGAAGACAGAGAAGAAACAGGAAGACGGGAAGGGCTCCTACTCTTACAGACTCCAGGAGTTCAGACAGGAGTTTGATCTGCCTGAAGAACTGAACCCTGAAGCCGTCACCTGCTGCCTGGCTCCAGACGGGAAGCTCCGCATCCAGGCAGCCAGAGCTCCATGTGCTGAGGAGGCTGAGAAAGAGCTGACTATCAAGAGGAGCCTGGAGGAGAAAACACAGCAGAGTGTGTGTTCACACACAGAGGACAGCAGCACAGAGACAGACAACAGCACACAGGACAAACCTGAACACATGGACTGATCACAGTGTTGCTGTGCCAATACATACAAATGTTTTTCATACAAGTGTTAAGTGTATTTTTAAGTGTAACCAATAAATGTATTGAAATTCCAACAGTGTTTGAATGTTTCTTTTTTTTAAACTTTTTTAAAATAACTATTTTAGAGTTTTACTTTTTCTTTATTCTTTAATTTTTTGAAACTTTTTAAATCATAAACATGTCCTGTTAGGCTAAACAAACAGCTAGATGTAAAATAAAACCTGAAAGTGTGGAAAAGAAACTTCTTACTGTTTGACATATAAATAGTGAGTGTTTGAACTGGAATGAATGATGATCATTATCATCAGTAAGGTTTTTGGGACTGGTCAGTGACTCAATCTACTCACATTCACGACATTCGGGGTGCAATGTTACGATTGCTGGATATGTTACTCATTATTTCCTGTTTTCCTTGAGATAATGGCTCATATTTTGTATTCCAACACACTGGATTAATTACTGTGTGGTCTTTAAGCTACTACTCGGTTGATAATAGTTTTCAAAATCAGTTTAAATGTGGTCGGACCATTTTCTCTTCTCAGTGACATGACGGTTACTTGTGATTCATCATTTCCATCTTTTCACGGAAAAAAACTGGAATTTAAGCAGAGAGACCAATTATGTGAGATTAAGAAAGAATTAGTATTAATTAATTGTAAAAAATGTTTGATAAATCAACTCGTAGTAAGATGGTAAAGTCACCTTTGTTACCTTTCACAGTTGATTTTACCTGAGTAAAGATTTGCTGACTGTCTGTATTCAGTAGCTGTAATGTTTACACCACATTCTATAAGAAATGAAAGTTCTTGACCATTCAAGAAGAATCTTGTAAAATCGCCACTCATGAGTAACGATCCCACGAAGAGCTGAGGTAAACTTATTTTTCACAAACCAGGACATGAGGTGTTTGTGCAAAACAAAAGAATTTTAAAAATTTTAAAAAGTAAGAGAAAAATCACAATTTCATTTGAAATACATGTATTTATTATATCCAGTTATATGAATATACGAAAGAACATACCATCATCATTTAACATTTGAATAAAAAACATGTACACTTCTATTGGTACAACAACATTATGATCAGTCCATACCAGTTCAAACCTGTACTATTTAAAGGGGAAGCAGTAAGACCAGACTTTCAGGTTCTACTTGTTGTTTGTTTACCCTGATTGTGCTAAAACTGTGTAGTAGTTAAAAAAAGTAAAAAAAAATCATAGTTGAAATGGATGAATACATTTATTGATTATGCATGAACAAGTTTTTAAAAATCCAATCCAATCCAATCATTTAACGTTTATATAAAAAACATTTCCTATGTATGTATTTACCTGCACATATTTGTGTCAAAAGAAGTTTAAAAAAAACTTACCAAAGAAATAATGATTGGTTGAAATACATTTATTTAATAATGTTCTGTTCTACATTCAAACACACAAAGGAATATATAATCATCATTCATCCATATAAAAGACTTCTCATTGGCACAACAACACTGTGATCAGTCCATGTGTTCAGGTTTGTCCTGTGTGCTGTTGTCTGTCTCTGTGCTGCTGTCCTCTGTGTGTGAACACACACTCTGCTGTGTTTTCTCCTCCAGGCTCCTCTTGATAGTCAGCTCTCTCTCAGCCTCCTCAGCACATGGAGCTCTGGCTGCCTGGATGCGGAGCTTCCCGTCTGGAGCCAGGCAGCAGGTGACGGCTTCAGGGTTCAGTTCTTCAGGCAGATCAAACTCCTGTCTGAACTCCTGGAGTCTGTAAGAGTAGGAGCCCTTCCCGTCTTCCTGTTTCTTCTCTGTCTTCCCACTGACTCTCAGCTTCCTGCCCACCTGCCTGACAGACAGCTCCTCTGGGGAAAAGCCTTGAGTGTCCAGAGTCAGGTTAAAGTGCTCTCCCTCTTTCTCCAGCTGGTAGGAGACTGGCTGCACGGCCACACTGCTTTGGAAAGGCTTCGTCTCCTCCAGGATGTTGTGTTGAAGTTTTTCCATCAGCTCCAGACTGCTGCACAGCTCCTGTAGGTTTCTCTGCAGTCCATCCTGCTGGTAGAGCAGAGGTGTGACCTCTGGCCACAGACTGCGTACAGGCCAGTAGAAGCTGAATGGACTGAGGGCAGACTGGAATCCATGAGAGCACAGCATCTTCAGAGTGGGTTTAGAGTGGAGTCCTCTTGTTGTGAGATGAAACACTGTTACAGTGTCTGTTGTCTTCTGTGTTGCTTGTGTTGTTTCTGTCTCAGCAGTGGGACTGTCCCAGCTTTTATATTCTAACTGGAGGAGCTCCAGAGTCTTCAGGAACTTTCCTGTCATTACCACAGCTCTCCACTGGGAGGAGCTGTTACTCAGGTCTGCTGATGTCACTGGATCATTCTCGTGTTTTCAGGAACATTCATGCATTTGCAGGACTTGAACAGTAGATGTCACTCAAACTCATATCATTATATTAAAGTGACACTACACCCAAAATGCAACAATCACATTGTCTAATGTACCTCAGATGGTACAAAGCCATGCTAGATATTGTAGCATATTAAACTTGTAGTAAAAACAATGAAAGTCTAATTGTAGCCTCTACTACTAGTAGCAATAGTAGTAGAGGTAGTAATGTATGTATTAAAAACTGTTTAGAGCAGCTTTGGCATGTAATTTGTAGGTAAATTTGATTATAACTACATTCCAATTGAATTCACTTTCCCTCCATCTCTCCACTTCACATCATTAGTGCTCAGCAGCTCAGTAGTCCTCCTCCTGTTCTCCTCAGATAGACTTCACTTCTTCTACAACCACATTACTCTGAAGCCACTGTCTGCCTATTAGTAACAAAATCAATGATGGAGACCAGACTAGATGAAACTAATACAATAAAGAGAAGAGAAGAGAAGAGAAGAGAAGAGAAGGGAAGAGAAGAGAAGAGGAGAGAAGAGGAGAGAAACACCCTGTTTTCTATGGATATATCACCCTTATAGTTTAAGAATCAAATTTTTGTCCATTGTCCTCAATTGTCCATTGTGGACATAGGTGACACTCAGTGTCTTATCTGTCCTCTCTTTTACTTTCTGTGACAACTTTCATTCTTCCTGGAGGAGATTCATTTCCTGGGGTCTCATTTCTACTTCCTCTGTTTAAATGTCTTCTCTGGCTATAGGAGAAAAATACATTTATGAAATGCTTTGTCTGGTATGTAAAAATAAATATGCAAAGTTATATAAAGTATACTAAATATATATTGTTTATGCTCATACAACTATAGATTTCCCTCATTTGCTTCCAACCACTTGAAATAATGAGGACCCAAAACAGATTGCAAAGCTCAAAATTCTCATGATCCATATTTGTTTAAAAACCCACATGCAAATCAGTTTGTATTTTCTGTAAAGAGTCATGTGAACTATCAAACACTCACACACACACAACTGTAGACTTCCTCTATGTATCGCACATTGATGCAGCTACCTACACGACTGGCATAAACCCTTCCAATATCAGACTATAAATGCTCTGAGTAAATATTCACTTACATTTGATTGCTCTGCTGTGCTTACAAGGCTGATGATTTATTAGCTGCATAATGCTTTGACTCCACATCTGCCTTTTTAAAGAGATATTACTTTAGTGGTCATCCTACTTTTATATGTTGTTGCAAACAAAATATAATTTAATTTTAAGCTAAAGATAAATAAATCATGATATTCAATAAAAGTATGTTTTTAGAGACAAACATTTATTTACCCACATTTATTTACATTTTAATAGCATTTCTTGAGGGCAGCAACAAATAACATGCTGGTTTATCTCCAAAAATACCTCACCCCAATTTGAAGACAAGATCATTCAATAAATAATCAGCTGCATAACCTGACCAGATTCAGTCCTATTCATTTTTTCAAATCAATCAATATTTGTGGACTTTTGTTTTTAGTAACCATTAGTGTAAAACAGCATCCGTTCAGGGAAAAAAAATTGCGCTCATTTCTTTTTGGTGTCAACTATTGCCCTGTAAATTTTAATGACTGTATTTTGCAGTGACGCTATTGTGCTGAAAGAACCTGTCCACAGACATATAAACACCTCCAAACCGCCTCTGTGGTAGTTCCTGCTACAGTAGGTGTCTCCAGGACCACATTTTGCCATGACGACACTCACAAGGTGAAAACAACATCAGCCGAGCTGCCATGGTAATAATTCTTCTAAACATTACACCTTCCCTGGCTGAAAGATAACCGCTGTCAAAGTCAGGCACTGCTATATATTATTAGCAAACTTACTGCGCATGAAAACGATCAATTTCACCAGGATCTGTTCCATTTTTCATGTTGGACAAAGTGGATGTGAGACATTTTTAAATTTCCTCTTGGCTGGAACTGCTGACTTCAAACATATCACAGAGATATCTAAAGTATTCTCTTCAATCATTATGAAGCAATATGTAAAGTATTATATTTACATTTTCTTTATAAGGTAGTAAAATAAAACTTTTAGGTTGAAATATTACAAATACATATCAGTATTGATTAAAAACAAATTGTGTAATGCCCTCAAAAAAAAAAGTACCCTTTGAGGTAGATCAGTCTCCTCCTCAGAGTTACGTAACTCTTTGGAGGAAAGGTACATTACATGCGACCCTCATAGGGTACTATCTGCTTGACAAGAAGATGCAGTCACAGTGTGTATGTTTTTCATTTGAGTGTGATGGCAGCATTCACCCTGTACTCAAGGAATCCCTATTTGGCAGGCAAATGAGCTTTAGCATCGACTGGGGAGATTCTGGAGCTGGTTCCACAGCGTCAGCATCTCTTTGGGACTCCGTCTGTGAACCAGCAGAACGGATCTGTACGCACAAGGATTTCCCCTGTCTGTCTCTGGGAGGTCAAAGGTTAAAAAACCTGCATGATGGCTTGGAGCGAGCCCGAGTCTGTGCAGGCACATTCCCAGATACACATCGTCTATAGGGAAAAGACGCACCCTCTGAGACACCTCTTTCAGTCGTAACGCAAGTGAGCCAGAATACACAACCCCTCCTCCACCTGCGTACGGTGGGTAACCACCTTTGTAGAAACGTTCTGGTATGTAGTATTTAGTGGATGGTTCACGGTTTGGCATTGCGTTATTGATTACATCCCCAACAAACAAATTCATGCTAGTTTCATTTGTACGGGCTCTCCACAGGTTCTGCTCCTCTAACTGCTTGTTCAGATAATCCAGAAGGGCATCTGTTCGAACAAAGACATCATCATCGCCTTTGAACACAAAGGTGGCAGTGGGGCAGTACTGCTGGAGCCAATGCCAGAACAGCAAGTCCTTTAGGGTTAGGTTAAAGAAAGTGTCTCTAAAATCCCACTGTAGGATATCCCCATATTTCTGGTTCTCAAGATTCAGGAGGTTATTGAGGTCTGGATGAGGACCTGTACTTGAGTCCTGCCTCCCAAGTAGAAACACTGTGTGCACTAATCCGCCTTTCTTATTTGATTCCCCCCTTACCAGACCACTGCGTCCCCATGTTTCACGGATGGCCTGCCTGTTTTCAAAGTTTCCCACTTGAGATTTGACGGCCATGAGGAGCATGGGAGTGTCCAAACCAAAGCTACTGTTCTGCCTCCTACACATACCAGGCTGATTGATCAGGAGCGGATACTCCCTGCAGTGCATTGACCTGATAAATGATATCATTTGTTCGGGCAGGCTCTTTAAATCTTGCATACGAGGGAGCGTACACTTGTGTGACATGCAGTCAGAGAGGCACTCATCCTCGACTTCTGACTCAAGCTTAGCTCTCGGCTTCCTCATTACCCCTGTTGTGTTTCCTCGCAGTATTGGATTGTGCTGACGATCCCAAGCATGCTGCAACTGGTTCCACAGTGCACTGTCCTCCAGACGAAGGTTCCAGAAAGGGCCAAGTGGGTGAGAGGCCAAAGCAGAAGAGTTAGGAGAAATCCCCGGGGCAATATAGTGGACGTTTATTTTTGGAGGAGTGTAGGAGATGGTGACGAATATGGACACCAGGATATAAATCAGAAGGTGGCCGGTCATCATGCAAGGCAGCAAGCACATGCACAGCAGTCTCCTGTTGCATTTGCAGCATCTGCCCATTGCCTGCAGTGTACAAGTCAGACACTCACCTGCACATGGACAAAAAATAGGACATAAGGAAATAAGATTTTTTTTTTAAACTGCTAACGGAGAAAACATTTAAATTACCCTCCTTCCTCACTGAATTAAGACTACTGCAGTGGCATGGATCTACCTAATTTTTATGGCAAACACTGCAGTCATCCCTCTGGAGTTTCTGTCTCCTTGGTGATGGTCCAGTGAGGGTTATTATCCGTTCTTGTCTACACGCTCAGAGCATCATCCTGCATTTACCTGCCGCTAGGCACACAGCCCCTGTAGAGACACTGTGGAACATTAACATTAACGCCCTCTTTCCTTCACTCTTAAAAGTTGGGTAAACACTGCCACATTAGTGTTTCGGCTTCACATTTCTTACACATATATATATTTTTTTACAATATTTTAATAACTTAATTCCACTGTATGAAAAAAATGGAACGTCACAGCTGGTTAATAGCTTAATGGATCTTAATCCAACATGCTGTTTCTCTATAGGGCGCACAGCATACAGCAAATTGCTATGGAGTCTACTGACAGTCATTCTTACAACAGTCAACTGCCAAACACTTTACTAATTTAGACAATGAATGAAGGACAAAGCATAAAATGACTTACAGGTGAGTGAACTTCTCTCGTTATTTAAGCAGACTGAGACAAAAGACACACTGGCTTGTGGTGTCCCCCTTTTGTTTTCGTTTTTTCATCCGGCTTGGTTATAGGCTGGTTATAGCATGGCAGGTCTGTAGCGCTTCATTTATGTCCATAAATGAATGATAAAGAGAAGCATCATTTAGACGCGCCACAGTCGTTCTCACAGTAGCATCCGCAGCTGAGCAACAGGTCTCAGGTGAGGCACACTGTACGCACAGAGCATGCGCCTCTGGCTCCTTGACACTATGGTCGACAATGAGGAAAATAGTCACAGGATCGACGTACGCTACTACTCCTGCTGACAGACTGTTTTGAGCACGGGAAGCAGCTACACCAATGAATGATTTCTCCACTGAGAGAAAGACTGCTTTGTTTGCATGCAGGTGCTGCAGGTGCACGTCTGCGTATTTGCATGATGCGACCAAATGACCTATGAAAGGTTGATGCAAACGCAAACTTATGGTCATTTATTTTAGCTGTTTAATTTTTCACTAGTGACACAAACATGAAAAAAGTACTTCAACACACCTAAAGTAGGCTACTACACATGATTTATGATAGGTGATACTGCTCTGCGCTTTATTTGGCATAAGGCGCCAGTATCCTTTACATACTGTATCTGTATGTATTATTGAATGAATGAATGAAAAAAGCCTCAAAACATTTAAGAAGAAACACGCTTTAATATTCAGCCTTCATTTACCTCCATTTAGTCTCCACTGACCAGCCTGTACTGTGGTTTATATTTTACTGTAGCCTATACAGTAAATGAATGACATTACCCTCTGTTTGTTATTATGAGCTTTATTTTTAATATATCATATACTTTTACTGATATACAAAATGTTCATAGCCTATCATGAGTGCATTGGTGTTAAACCACAGGGGTAGGGGTGTTAAACCACTATAGTAGGAAACGTTAAAAAAAGCACTATGTTCTATTTTATTATTGTCCACTAGGCTGCATTTCTCTTTAATCTACTCTATTCTACTCTATTCTATTCTATTCTATTCTATTCTATTCTATTCTATTCTATTCTATTCTATTGACCAGCTACTGTATTATGCAATTCTGTAAGGACAATCAAGGTACCCACTGATAAACATCACCGACATACCTTCGTACGTAACAACGTATGACGGACATGACCTCGAGCCAATAGAACACCGGTCTGGCAACAGGTTATCGGCTGAATCCCGGATTTCAGCCAATAGGAGGGTAGAGGAGGCGGGCCGTGTTGGCGTCGCGTTGCCGTTTATGTTTTGCTGTACATGTTTGGTTGAGCTTTGAATGAGGGGCCATCATCATCCCGGCGGCTCGGATGTGGAAAATACAGTTTAAAGTCTCTCTGGATGCATTTATAATGAACAGGCAGGCTTTTCGGACAGGTACCCGAGTGACCGTTCGGTGTCCTTTCACCTCCTCGTGTGGTAAGTGTGTTTTTAACTATGAAACACATTTGATTTGCAAGCGAGGAAACATGCAACAGACCTATTTATTTGTCTGTGACACAAAGTAGCAAGCTTGCTAGCGGATTTTTTTTGGAGGCGAGGGGAGGAGGAGAGAGGCGGGGGGGGGGGGGGGGACTATCAGTCATTTCGAGACAAAAGAAACCTGAATATTTTCACTGTGCCTGTATATCACAACAATTGACACCCAGCGTTGAAACCAAGTCGCTTTTTGTGTCTTGTCAAAGTCTACATTCACTGGCTGTTTAGTCTGAATAGCAGTTAGTAGCGTTAGCTTATTCTTCAAACCGTGCGTTTGTTATGTGTACGGTTTCAGGGGAAGAAGTAACCCAAACAGGCAGTTTCTCACAAAAAAGACAAAACGGTTCAGACAAAATAAGGTTGCTTATTTTACCCACAAGGCCCTGATAGCCGTGGTCAGCATTTCGACTAGATATATGCGTTGTGGCCATATCAGCACGTTTTGTGCTTTTTGTTCCTTACATTAAGACTTTCTATTCACTTTGAAAGGCTCCCACATACGACCCTGGTTCCCCCCAGCAGCAATTCACGAGCTTTTAGCTGTTTTAAGAGTTTCTTATAACATTTCCTTTATGTATCAACCTTTAGTAAAATTAGCAACCACTTCAACCAATTATGAATTTAAGTGATCCTTTATTTTGCTAAAGAATCACTTTCCAAGGACCCCATTTAAGGTATTGAACAACTTACAATATTTGACTCAGACATACTTTTTTTCCAGCCTCTGACTCTTATGCTGGCATCAAAGCCTTCTCCCCAAAGCTATTATTTGTGTAGTGTATGATGGCTCTAATGGAAAGCATGTTTGGATGTTTAGACAATATCAAGGAACTGCAGGACTAAGACTGTAGTTAATTATTTTCAGGAATGGTCTGACTAGCTCTGAAAGCCATTCATACACTTACACTAATAGTAAGCAGTCCAAGGGTTAAGCCTGTGAAATTAATTCTTAGAAGGAGCTTGGACTTTCAGGGTAACATGCTGAGGATAGTTATCCCTTCCTCCCTGGCAGCTAAGTTGAAAAACCTGCATCACTGAGTGGTTCTGTCTGTATTTATTTATGAGTGAGTCAGTGATCATTTATCTGCTGAACTAATCTACACATGACAAAAATGTTTGTGTTTTGAGAGGACAGCCAAATTTGACTTAATAATTCAGTTAGAGTACTCTGTCTAGGTCTCTTTCTCAATTTGCTCTGTGTGTGTGCCATGTGTGTTTCCTCATTAGGCTGGGAAATGCATCCTGGCAATAATATGAGAACCATAATATTGTATAAGGTTACACATGCAAGTCAGAGCTCAACCAGAACTAACTGTTCAGTGTGCATTGTGGCCATTGAATTCCAAATTTCACTATCACCATATGAAATTTAAAACAGTGAATTGCTCACCTGCCAAAATAACTGATAGTCTGAAGGAATGATCTGTGAAACTTAAAAGATTTGCCGTTTGTGAGTATAGGGCAGCATGTTTCATCTGGTAAGGCTTTAAGCTCCTGTCCGGGGTTTAACACAGTTAGACACTGCTCAGCTTTCCTATGAGAGGGCGAACAGTGGTTTTAATAATAGCATAGGTTTACTATAGGATTACTTTGGGATTAGTATAGATATTGACATAGATTTGCCACTTTAGACATAAATTCCTCTCTTCTCAGTAAAAAAAAAAAGATGCTTTAACATGACTCTACATTTAAAGTTCTCTTCAATGAGTTTTTTAAAGGTTGGACAAATAAAGATGAAAAATCATCCACACCCTCCACTATTTTGAGTAAAACTTAAAATTATTTTAATGCACAAGGTCTGTAATACTTTGAACAATCATATGTGATTTGTGCAGAGCTGTATTATGAGAATTTGTGAGGTTAAGTACCTTAACTGACCTGTGACATTTTGTAAGAATATATCCCTCCCTTAAACCATCACTAAAGTTTTCAAAAAAAAGCACACGAAACTAGAATCTTATTCTTCAATACTAATTGTGACATTTAAATAGATTACCATGATATACAATATGTAAGCAGTTAATGCATCAGTATCAGTAAGATGACTGATGCAATCTGCACCCCCCCCACCCCCCCAAAAAAAGTCTTTGTGTTACCGGATCTGAAGACTTACAGTTTGGAAGTGGTTTTGCAAGATAACAAACCTACTTGTGCAAACAGAAGAGCTTAATTTTCTTATTATGATTGAGAAGCATGGGTGCACAGCTAAGTGTGCACCAGCAGTAGAGTATATTCATCAGAGTTTGTCCAACAAATGCTCAATATAAAACACAGTCAGTTAATTCTTAAGAACTTTGCACAGGGTGTGTAGTGCTATGGCTGCTAGTCTGGCTGACTTACAGCACGGTACATGGTGGGAGGGTTAGCAGTGGGGGGCTATGATAGATATCATAGTCATGGCTCTGGGCAAATGTGTGGGCACAATTGGTCTCACCATTACAGAAATGAATGTTTCTTTGTATCTTCTTATCTGTCCTCTCTCTTACAAGTGTTAATTTGTGCTTTCTCTCTTTTCCCTCATTTCTTAGGTTTCTTTGGATGTGCTACTCTTCACTCCCTATGTTTTGTGCTCTCCATCTGATATTTCTGAAGAGTCCTCAAGATCTATGCCTTAGTTCTGATTAGACATTACTCAGAAATACGTGCATATATTCTGTATATATCTTTTTTGAATCTCCAGTTGGAATTCAGTCAACAGTCCACAACCTGTATCACCCTTCTTCCCCTGTCCCTTTTTCTCATCACATCAGATTAAGAGGGACATCAAAACACACTTGGGTCCACACATACACACACACATAGGCCACCATGTCCTCCATCCTTCCCTTCACTCCCCC